GAAGATTTGGCGGATGGTAGATGGCGAATAAAGACCAGCTTCAATGCTGATAGACTCAAGACCGCTGCCTTCTAGATACTTTGCGATGGCATGAAGAGAAGCAAAACAAGCATGAAGTTCACCAACTCTCAAAACCCAGTTAGTGTTTTCTGTCGAAGATTGCAGTTTCAATGCTCTCTCGTAGAGATCAAGATCAAGAGTAATTATAGTTTTGTGATCAGGACCTACCACAAAAGCTGATATACCCTGAGCCTGACACAACACCGTGTAGAGAGCTGTAAAATCTGTTGGAGGTCTCCTTAACAAAGGGGCAACAATTGAACTCTGTGTTTTCTGTCGATTCTCTAAGTGAACTTGTGGTGCCGACATTAATAAAGAGTTAGTAGCTGCCCAAGTCGGCATAATGTCTGTTTTCTCCAGTTTATTGGATGATTGAGATGTACGCCGTTCGGAATGATCTGCAGCTTCAAATTGTTCACATGTACTTGCTGACAGTTCTTCAGGGGTAGCATTTTCTACGATCGCACTTCTCTCTCTGTGGGAAAACGATGCCATCAGCCACGCTCTGTCGTCCACCTCGTATTTTCTCACAAGATGATCATTGGAGTGAAAGTCGAACTTGTCAACTGTTATAGGCTTGGCTTCAATGGATGTCGGGCTTCTGTAGACTGTGCTAACATCCACAGAGACAATTTCATCGGGGATACGAAGAGATTCATCCACTACGACTCTAGCAGTTTCGTCATTGTTGCTGTCCTTGTTTTGATTGATCACTAGCATCGTACCATGAAGAGTGTTCTGACGATCAGCTGTGTTTTCTAAGAAGTCGATATTATCTGCAGCAAAGTAAATAGACTTTCCTTTCACAAGAAAAGACGGCAAACAAAATCCACCTGTTGTCTTCATCCGCTCAGCCACTCTGCAAGCAATTCGCTTCTCTATGTTGATGACGTTCCTGTAGCTAGATCCGATTTGCAGCTGTGAAAGAACATTTACAAGATCCTTACTTCTTGTTTTCTTGTGAATCGTTAATGCCAATCCAACAGAGAGAGGAGTTTCAATGTGACTTCGGAATCCGGTATCCGGCTGGGGTTGGTAAGTTATCTGACAGTCCGTTTTAAAGTTCTGCAGTATCTGTTGTGACACAAGATCAACTGACTTCGTTGATGCCTCATAGCGCTTTCCTTTCACATTTCTAAGTTTTGTGCCAAGAAGAAGCCATCGTAGAAAGGAGGTCAACATTGGTGGAGACTGAAATTCCTTCATGGACTGGGATCCTGTAAATTTCCAGTGAGTATGTCTTTGAGCTCATTTCTCAATATAGCAGCTGTCTTTGCGACGCATTTGATGTCATCTTCTTCATTTTGTTGCTCTCGGAGGTTGTTAACAGCCACTCCAAGTAGCTTTTCGCTGACTACATTGTCACTTTCATTGGATCTATGTGACTTGACAAATTTAACATCTTCAATGTTTTGATGGATAATGCTTTTCAGATGCTTTTTATGATGGCTGGAACCTGGATCTACCTCATTTTCAGTAAGTATGGAAACATATTCTTCATCAATTTCATTCATTGTTAGAGTAGAACCTGAAACAAGGGAACATTTGACAGCATTCAGGATGTCAACGTCAGCGATATATTTGCCAATGTTGGACTTGGACTGTATATCCCAGTTTGAAATGGATTGTTGCAACTTTCGTTCGTGTTCTCTAAGACAATTCCTGTGATACATTAAATCAAATGCAGCGCAGTCAGAAGGTTCATTAACATTGGCTAAAGCTACCCTAACATTCTCATCTTGTGTTCTTGATTTAATCAACAAAAACCTGATGCCCATAGACTCACTTTCGACTCGATGTAGTTCGCCTGTGCTAGGATGGGAACACTGGAACACACAAGTCTTGATGTGCTGTGAAGCGCCAACAGATCGTCGTAGCCGTTCGCCTGTTACATCTCTACTGCATGATGGAGAATCTGACCTTGAAGGGCGACCTTTCTTTGGAGGCACTACTGACTTTGATGATGATGAAGATTCCCTAAATCTCTTTTCTGCCCTTTTCAATTTCTCATTGTTGACGATATTTTTATAGCATCCAGAATGATATACAAACTGAATGTATTGCTCATCTGTAAGACTTGCAATCCTGTCACAGAGAGGGGATAAGTTTGTTTCCCCATACGATGCACGTTGGCTTGCATATTTCTTGACTTTTTCCAGACTCTCCCTAGACGATTTCAATGTTAAGGGTGTTGTTCCTTCGACCTTCGAGCATATGATGCACTTGTTGGCACTGGTTTCTGTAGCATCCATGTTAGAGAAATTGCTTCATCTCCTGACCATTATTCCTTCATCTCTTGGCCATTCCTTCATTGTGCATGTCTGACATTCCTAGGACAGAACATTAACCACATCATATTACAACTAAAATCACATTATGAAGCTTTTTTCACACACTTTATCGATCAATTTCAAATTAATAATTACCTAATTTAATGTTTTTCGCCTCCAATCCCAAAATCAAGTTCGGCTGCTTAGCCAATGAACAATATGGAAAGATACATACAGCTCATGTAGTGACAGCTGTGTCCGCCATCTTGGATGTCCGTGTAAAAAGACTAGGTACTAGTCATGCAAACTATTCTGACAAATTCTTTACTTTATTATACCTTTTATCTTTATTCACTTTACCGACCACAGCCACTATAGCTTAATTCTATTTATATGTCTTGGACATAATTTCTAGTGAAATTGTAAACGAAAATTAAAGAGTTTTAATGACTCACCACCACCGCCTTAAATTACTAAATAGTGACTGTAGTGATACAGTTAAAAAAGTCAAAGCTACGTTTTTAATAAAATGGTCATGGCATGAAATAGAACAGAATTTCCACAGAATACAATGAAAGATGGCGGCCATTTTGAAATCCCAAGTTTTGAAGGATGATGGCATGGAAAATAAAAGTAGCCATTTTTTTTTAAATCAGCAACTCAAGAATTAACAATGTTGAACGGTATTGTTATTCTAATGTTTCCAGGAACTACGATATTGAGACTAATAAAACAAAACATAATAAAAAATGGACGTTATTTTGAAAAAAATGGCCGCCATTTTGAATCTCAATTTTTTTTATTATGAATCTCAATTTTTTTACTGATGACGTAGAAGAAAAAAATGGTACCTAACTTTTTTGAAATCAGCAGCCCAAAATTTACAAAGTTGACCAAAAAAATCCATTTTGGCACGAAAATCCAGCCGGATCCAATTATCTGACATATCAACCTATACTATTACAATTTGCGCTTCGGCTGATTACTTGCCATAACACAACGAAACAACTAATGAAAATATTTAATCAAAAATCTTCAAAATGTTAGTTTTTTTCTGATTTCGTCCATTCCCCAGCTATTCCCAGGCCATTCCCAGGCCATTCCCTTCCCCATTCCCTTCCTCCATTCCCTGTTTTAAAGGTAGCCGACATAAAAATGCATTACAAACCTGTACAGACTCGTTTAAAACGTATACGTCTTTCTGTGGATCACGTTTGACACCATGTTTTACGAAACCTTGTCTTCCTATGACAGTCACCGCTTTTTTTCGACTTGCCACCATTAATAAAGTATTCACGGGACATGTCTCTGAGAAGGGATTGTAACTGGTAATCTTTAATGTCATCCCAAAACACTCCACCGCAATCTGCTAACGCCTGATTGAGAGCGTTTTTGAATTTTTTGGCCGAGTCCAGGTTTGTACAGGATATGAAACATTTCCTGTTAAAAAGAGGCAAAGGCATGTTTATAAAGCAACACACTACATACTCTATGTATAATTTTATATTCATCTATGGACGATATCTGGGCGTAGAGTATAGGTGAATAGAAAAATAAAACTGAATCAAAGTTTTTTATCGTTGTAAATCTTCTGTGTGGCAAAATAAATGTGATGCCTCCAGGTGCGCTGTGGTACGCCCTAATGACAAGCAGTTGTGTGAGATATTCAAACTTTCTCAAAAAAATATTAGTTTGTACCACCACAATATCGAAAGAATAAATTAAACAATTATACAAGATTACTTATACCTTCTTCATTAAGTTTATGCATAAAGACAAAAGCCCGCAGGACGGAGGCATCAAACTCTGAAATCCGGTCCGTAAAGGCCGAGGGCATCTCGAGTTTCTATTCAAATCTTATATTCTTATTCAATATGATATATCAACTATACAGTAAATACTATATGTGAATCAGCTCAACCATGTAGGGCTATATACGGGACACTTACTTCGATACTTGAGATTCTCCCAAAGACTTGCAAATTTCAAATATGTATCCGCTTAAGTTATTCAAGTGTCCCTCAAACTTGACAAGGTTCAACATTCGAAAGCTGAAGTCCGATATTGATTTATACACTCCAGGTTTGACTTTCTGGTGAATACACACAATGCCATCGGCGTCTTCCCTAAAGCTTAGCGATTTAACGGGCGACACCATTACACTTGAAGGAACGTTGGTCTTCACTCTTCGATTATTGATACCACTCTCTTAAACGCACCTGGTATGGTAATGGCTTTGCGCATTGCATGAAATCACAAGGTATAATATACTGATTGTGATTGGTTGCACTGTCGTTTCCGTTGGAAACAAACACACCATCGATGAAACAAACGCAACATTGATGAAGCAATACATGACATGCATGCGGCATTCAAATACCAGACTTTTGTTTGACTAATCAAAGTTGCGGCGCTTGACATCTTGACAGATGCGTAACGCTTCAAAAGAACCGCTCAGGAACCATCGAAGGACTAAGCTTCGGCCATATAATAAAATAGTTTATTATATAAACATAAGTGTTATATACCGGGTGTCCCAAAAAAAAGTACTCCGGTTTGATTCGTAATAACTTCTAAACAAGTAAAGCTTTTAAAGAGAAATAACTTGCATCAAATAGAGGAAGGACTAACTTAGATTTTGATATATTAGAGTTGTATTTCACTTAAAAATTCACGGAGATATTAATGTTTAAAATCGGGAGCATATTTCTGGATGTGTCTGAAATATGCAAAAAACGGCGTATCAAATATTAATCAACATTTGCTCGACTGAAACATGCACTATTACCATGCAGTAAACAAATGACATTTGACAAATTGTTTATTATGAAACAAAGTATTATTATCTACAAAATACAAGCAAGATTTATTTGTCCGAAATCTGTGTGCATGTGTTCCTAGCACGAATACGTTTCCTTATTTCATGAGACCACTGCATCGTGAAGGATCGTCATGAATATCCGTGTTCGTATAGTTCTGAATTAGGGCATGCTGTCACAATAGAATTGTGAAGCTCTTCTAACTTCTTCAAAGTTCCGAAATCTTGTTAAGAAGACTCAAACTCTTTTGCCTTTTCTTAATCTTGTTTATCTTGTTAAGTTCAGAATAAACTGAGAATGAAACACAATCAAACCATACAAACTCCATAAGTCATAACAAGCAACTCCCCAGAGACATCCAACATTTTTGGAACAAAACGTAACAAAATAGTAGCGTCGATATACTGTGATGTGTATTTGCAAAAAGCAATATTATTTCCTTCATTAAAGAATAATATTCATCCTGCTCTAACCGAGAAATAATCAACTCTGTTTTTAACCCATGAAAAACAAAAAAAAATTAGGCTATTTAAGAAAAATTTAAGCCTGCCTTAGTGGTCTTTCATGTACCTTTATGTTTGTAAAGACCTATTAAATACTTGCATAATTTCGAACATTCATATTTCAGGAAACAATGAGCTAAGACTTACATGCATATATGTTAAGATGTCTAAATCTACGCCATATCCCTTATACAAACCCTAACGACAATTCGTTGAAATACAAGTTAGCCTGATATGTCATTAAACAAAGAAACGCTGGAGTTATATTTGATATGCCGATTTTCGCTCATTTTAGACACATCTGAAAATATGCTCCCGATTTTGAACATTAATATCTCGGTGAATTTTTAAGTAAAATATAACTGTAATATATCAAAATCTAAGTTAGTCCTTCCTATATGTAATGCAAGTTATTTCTGTTTGATAGCTTTACTTGTTTAGAAGTTATTATAAATCAAACAGGAGTACTTTTTTTTGGGACACCCGGTAGAGTTTTTGGCCACTGAGAAAAATCATATTTAAAGACACATAAAAAATACGATATTTTTACATCTGAAAATATCATTTGTTGTAAAACGCATAGTCACAGGCGTTTTTTTGTTTTTCACTGAATTTTGTTTATATAATAAACGGAAAAATATGTGGGTGCTTGGAAATACCATATCTCATATGACGAGACAGACGGCTCCAGGTTCGCAGCTCCAGGTTCGCGAACCTGGAGCCAGCTCCAGGTTCGAATTCAACCTGGAGCTGGAACGACTAGTTTGTAAATAAACTGCTTTGGCCGCTTAACCACTAATGAAATCCAATTTTTTTGAAAGACCATTTTTACTTGTCATATTCCTTAGTACGTGAGGGAAAATGAAGACATTATTCCGTTCCGTTCATCCATGGTAGCTTGTGAAAGATCACTGTTTTTTCTGACAAAGGGGCTGGTCAGCGGTGGGATAGATCGCAAAGCTCGTTTAAAACCTTATTTTTTTACCTTTATAACGAAAAACGTAAAATTTTGATTGATGACCATTCTAGAGAATGTATTCAAAAGTAATGTCAAGCATTGAACTTATTTCCATATCGCGAAACCGCGATAAGTAACTCGCGCAAAGTTGAGCTGTCTAATTTCACGCAGGGCCCGGTTGTGTTAATTTTATCCTTCCGTAAATACAACAACTTTGGTATCCGTACATTTACGCTTTATAATAATTACGAGTAATAATTTGATATGTTAATGACATAATATCATTTGTTGCGCTTTTCTGAAGAACTAACGATATAAACATGCTTAATATCCGAAACACACGACGCGAACAAGATCGCTAAAAATGGTGTTATTATGCGGCTCAAGTCGTCGAAAGGCCACAACATGTCAAATACGTCTAGCATCGTCTAAATTGCTTCGCACATTTCTTGCTAATTTCGCCCTGCTACGAATTTCTAAAAGATGACCCTTCTAGACTAATATTCATTCTATCATATTTTACAGCATTTGAAACTTTAGGATACATATCCACCATGAGCAACTCGTGAAAACACTAGCATTCGTTACCAAGATGAGAAATCAACTTTCAAGAGATGTGAAATATTACACCTAAACAATATTCCGTGTTATCTGACGCGTGCAAGACATTTAATAATCTCAGGGAAAACCGTATTAACTATAATGTCATGCATAGGTTTATATACGCTGTATTCTTTTTTTAACACATGAGCTAAAAACATCGTTTTTGCCCGTATAAGTTAATTAATAGGAGGGGTGTGTTTTAAGCCTTCTTAATTAACATAATCAGCGCAATCGCAAATTCAAACCTACGCATGCTTTAAAAATATTTTATCTTTGTGAAAAAGCGTAGTGTTTTTTCATGTATTGAAAAAATACAGCGCATAACTAAACAAGGAAAATTGCCTTGTTCCTATAAACCTATTCCTCGGCACTCTTAAATGCCTTGCCATGTCCTCATTGCATTTGCATGCCGATATTATAGTTAATACGGTTTTCCCCTGAGATTATCAAATGTCCGGCACGTGCCAGCTGATGACATGTTTATTGTTTACGTTTAATATTTCACATCTCTTGAAAGTTGATTTCTCATCTCGGTAACGAATGCTAGTGTTTTCATGAGTTGCTCATGGTGGATATGTATCCTAAAGTTTCAAATGCTGTAAAATATGATAGTATGAATATTAGTCTAGAAGGGTCATATTTTAGAAATTTGTGGCAGGGCGAAATTAGCAAGAAATTTGCCAAGCAATTTAGACGATGCTAGATGTATTTGACATGTTGTGGCCTTTCGACGACTTGAGCCGCATAATAACACCATTTTTAGCGATCTTGTTTGCGTCGTGTGTTTCGGATATTAAGCATGTTTATATCGTTATTTCTTCAGAAAAGCGCAACAAATGATATTATGTCATTAACATATCAAATTATTACTCATATAAAGCGTAAATGTACGGATACCGAAGTTGTTGTATTTACGGAAGGATAAAATTAACACAACCGGGTCCTGCGTGAAATTAGACAGTTCAACTTTGCGCGAGTTATTTATCGCGGTTTCGCGATATGGAAATAAGTTCAATGCTTGACATTACTTTTGAATACATTCTCTAGAATGGTCATCAATCAAAATTTTACGTTTTTCGTTATAAAGGTAAAAAAATATGGTTTTAAACGAGCTTTGCGATCTATCCCACCGCTGACCAGCCCCTTTGTCAGAAAAAAACAGTGATCTTTCACAAGCTACCATGGACGAACGGAACGGAATAATGTCTTCATTTTCCCTCACGTACTAAGGAATATGACAAGTAAAAATGGTCTTTCAAAAAAATTGGATTTCCATTAGTGGTTAAGCGGCCAAAGCAGTTTATTTACAAACTAGTCGTTCCAGCTCCAGGTTGAATTCGAACCTGGAGCTGGCTCCAGGTTCACGAACCTGGAGCTGCAAACCTGGAGCTGTCTGTCTCGTCAAATATCTCATTCTAGTCTCTTTTTTTTAACCACAAAGAAAAATGGCTCGCTGATTGTGCGCTTGCGTTACGTTAATCTGGCTGAGCAGTATAATGAAAGGGCTTTAAAAATAAATGAAGTAAACCTGAAACCAAAAAAAATTAGTGAAGCTCTTTTCGGTTTTTCCAAAACTTTAATCTTTATTATATAGGCTACTACGTCACTATGCTATATATAGTAGGCCTATATTATATGTGTTATGTTTTATACTGTATATACTATGCCACTCCCTACAGTTTTTTATATGTTTCATGCTTTAAATTCTACTATACGCCACTATAATGCTACTATACGCTGTAGTTTATTATATGTTTGATGCTTTAAATTCTACTACGCCACTACACTACTACGCTATAGTTTATTATATATATCTTTCATGTTTTATACTCTACTACGCTATAGTTTATTCGTATGTTTCATGTTTTATACTCCACGCTACTACGCTATAGTTTATTTGTATGTTTTATACTCTATACACTACGCTGCTATGCTATAGTTTATTTGTATGTTTCATGTTTTAACTCTACTAGGCCACTACGCTGCTACGCTATAGTTTATTCGTATGTTTAATGTTTTATACTCTACTAGGCCACTACGCTGCTACGCTATAGTTTATTCGTATGTTTAATGTTTTATACTCTACCACTACGCTGCTACGCTATAGTTTATTTGTATGTTTGATGTTTTATACTCTACTGCGCTGCTATGCTATAGTTTA